GCTATCCCAATCGCCGCACCTTCGATACCTCTACAGCTATTTAGGTGTGTGTTGAATTTAGAAACATTTTCTTATTGATACTTTTAGATATACATATATTCTGTGTATTCCCTTAGTGGGTATAACTCTTTAATCGGTATAACCGGCCATTTGGTTTACAATCAAATTCTTTATACACTATATTACTCGTAAAAAAATTGCACCATAATATTACACACCTACTTTCAAAGTGCTGAAAGATCAGGCTTTTTTGTTTACAAGGTGAATAAATAACATTGTGAATAGATAAGATTAGATTTGTTTCCTAAATACGCAAAAAGCTGTTATCTATCACTCCAAAGCAGCTAGCGCGCATGAATTTAATATACTATCGTGTTTTGTTATGTAATTATTGTTTAAATATAATGTGTGGTGAAGACAATACGTTATACGTCGGCGCCGCCAAGGTCGGGGTCGTTGAACCTATTTACGTCTTTCAGCAAGAGGCGCCGGCTGTCGCGTCGCACGGCACGGGCACGGGTATCAGGAAATAGATAGAATTTGTATAAGATTATTAGATTATACGTATAGTATCTGACAATTTGATAAAACTTCACTACATGCCATTAGAATGTTTTCGACATATTACGCAATACTCAAGTAATATTGACGAAATTATAATCTTCAAAATGAACACTGACACCATGACTTTTAGAAATAAAGAATACACAATATTTATACATTATTTTATCGCCGCTGAATATATTAGGTGTAATGAGTGTTTTTTATACATTTTTGGACCTTAAGTTAGTGGCATAGTGTAAAAAATACTTATTACACTTATGTTACTGATATACTTATCTATCTTACGACAGGTGTAAAAAAGAAGGCGTCACACAGACGTGTGGTGTATCAATATTTGTAGTACTATTTCGTCTTACACTTGCCATGATTTTATAAATGGCGCCTCAATTTTCGAGGTTTTGGCGCCTCATCCAGCGCCTTGTGTGTGCGCCTACGCTCGGGCAATATTTGTAGCTGTAATTTGTAAATTATAATACAATTGTACAACTTGCAATAACTTTAACGCATTGATTTTTCTCGGGCATTGATTTTTTTAAGAGTATGTATGTATTGTTTACCACGTTATCAACATATCAACAGCAAAAATAAATTAACGAATCGCGTAGCAAACTAAGTACATTTTAATAGGACAGATGAGTTTGACATGTTTCAATGTTTTGCGCCTTACGAATATTATATACGTAAAAATATGAGAATATTATATAAGATTCTTTTCGCAAACATATAGGTAAATATGTTTTGATTTACATACGAGTACAAAATGAGTACGATAAAGAGTCTTGACAGACATACAAACGGAAAAAAGTGATCTTATAACCGTTCTGTTTTTCCTTTTATGGGACAGAACCCTAACAATAATAACGCTAAATAGATTATTGTTATAATCTATTAAAAAATAGTCATCATTTAGATGTTTTTACAATTTCTCACCTCCTAATTTTAATACACTAAGAATAACGATTAAAAGACAAGCAAGTAAAAATAAAATAAATAATACATTCGCTACTTTACAAAGATACTCTTACTCAAAGCATACACTGTATACCTAAGTTATTTAATATATTAGGTCCTTACATATGAAATTGGTGTTTTGTACGGGTGGAATATAGTCATTTTTTTTGTAAAATATATATAATTGATCAAAGTATGCACCGTTGTTATCTATGCACTTTTGCTATTTCATAGGTAGTTCATTGATCCCTTTACTAAAAAAAACATGGAACATGGAATCTATAAACTCTTTGAAGGCGGTTTGCACTGCCGCGTCGGAGTTAAATTTTATCCCTTGTAAGAAGTTGTCCAAATTCCGGAAAAAATGGTAATCTGTTGAAGCAAGGTCCGGGGAGTAAGGTGGATGTCGCAGACATTCCAATTGTAGCTCATCTAACTTAGTGGTTGTTTGTTATGCAGTGTGTGGTCTTGCGTTGTGGTGAAGCAGCAGTGGCCTAGAGCGATTGACCAATCTCGGTTGTTTAGCAGCTAGTTCTTCCTTCATGGTTTGCAGTTGCTGACAATAGATATCTGCCGTAATCGTTTGGCCAGATTTTAGAAAGCTGTAGTGAACCACACCGCACACGATTTCTGTAAAACATCGATTTTTTATCTTTCACTGGAACTTTTCAAGCCGACCCCAACCTAGTTTGGGAAAAAGGCTCGAAGGGGGACTGGAACTTTGCATGCAATCCATTTTACATTTTATGTAGAATCAATCCTAACCTTCTTTCGTCTCTTTGTTTGTATGAAATTTAAATAATTGTTACTAGCTCATTTTTTGTCTTTTTTAAATTATTAATATAGAATAAGGAACCATTTGTTTGAAATATTTTCTCATTTAGACAACGAATTGTACCGACTAAGCCGACTACCTTCCATCTCCCTCATCACGTCAACTACAGGTGTAGACGTTTGTACTATTTAGATACTTTGGTAAGTTTCAACTGAACCTATGAAAACTAATTCATCCCCTATTTTTTTCAATTTAAAACAAGAGCAACTTACAAAATTATGCGTGCCCTGTAAACAGTTATGCGTGCTCGTTTAATTTGAGAAACCGCTTTTGCGTCAGCTAAAAATAGGTTAAATCAAACTATGTAGTTAATTTAATCTACGTCATTATTACTTAAAACAACAACTTTTTAATTATTATTTTTTTAAACTAGGCCAATTGTTATTTGTACCGTCCTATACCCTACTAGACTTTGGTTTGTAAATATTTCTCCGTTTCTATATATAGTTATCAGTCACCTAGTTTAGATAGAATTTAATCAGAACGCGGCCGTTCTGACTGGAACGAGCGAACGCAAGCATACTGCACAACACACGTTTATGTAGACCTTGGAGCAACTTACCATACCGCATACCGGTGAGTGACCGACTCGTCTTTGGTTACGGACACTGGCTGAAACTCCATGCCAAATGTCTTGAATTGTTATTATTATTGTGCTCATGAGAAACTACTAAGCACCACTTACCAATCGAACTTAATACTATTTATTTGGCAGTTATGAGAGCTTCTTTAGTTGTGTTACCATTTTAAAAAAGAATTTAAAAGTTTACATTTTACAATGGAAACAGATATTGTACATTTAATCTGCTCGTTTGCACCCTCTTCCATAAAAAGGTAAATACATATTTAATAAAAAAAAATGCAAATCTTCAAACCACATTTATACTAACACTTACTTACTTATAATAATATGTCCACAAGCCGTTACCCATTTAAGAAGAATGTACATAACTACCTTCTTGAGTTAGCCGAGATACCTATTCAATAGTATACTGCCCTATTTACAGTGTACGTATATAAAGTATATGTATTTATGTGTGTAACTGTATCTGTTAGTTAAAACTTTATAACTAATATCACAACCTCAGTGCACCTACCTTACCAGATTTCTAAAGTACCCAAAGGTTGGCTGGTAGAGAATGCCCAGGGCATTAAGTCCGCCGATGTACACGAGTGCATACAGTTGTAAATAAATAAATAATATGTATATGTATACCAGCTTTTGCCCGCGGCTTCGCCCGCGTGTATGTCGGTTGTCGCGGCAAAAAGAATCCTATGTTACTTGCTGATAATGTAGCTTTCTATTGGTGAAAGAATTTTAAAAATCAGTTTAGTGGTTTAGGCATGAAAGGGAAACTAACAGAAATACAAACAAAAATACAAACAAACTCACTTTCACATTTATAATACAAGTATGAATGTAAGATAAGTTTTTTGAAATAAATTGCTGAACTTTATAAATCCATAACAGTCATAATGTTACTGTATTACTAAACTGAAATTGTAACTCTTACTGCGCTAGTTTAAACTGCAAAATAGAATTTAAGAACAGTAAGTTCAGCGTATCAATATAAATTAAATAGTGCATTATCTTAAGTCAGAAATGCATAAAGACCTACCGTCTTTATTAATACCCGAATTAGAACAAAGTTAGTTTGTTTACTTGATAACAGTAAAATCTACATACGGTGAAAAAGTATAAATGTTTGTACGTACCTACTTTGTACACTTACAAAAACTATCATTGAGTGATACTAATACAAAAATGTGATGTACATATACATACATACCCTTTTTTAAACATTCCAACACTATTTTAGTATTTACCTCTTTAAAAAATAATCAAGGTTCGTTCTTTATATTTTCGTATCCGGATATTTGCTCATCTACTAGTAATCGTACCATCGTGATCATCATCTTACTTATTCAATTCTGCGTATAACTGAGAAACCAGTTCTAAATGCGAAAACAGGATGTATATGTATATATATCTAGCGACGATTCCAGCTAAAACAAACAACACGAGATCAATCATTGGTATAAATAGTTGCATTTACAAATGTTTTATCCAAAATATAATCGTACATGTTCGTATGTGGTGCAACCGCTGGGGTATTTCCGGTGATGTGTTTGTGTCAGACTGGAGGCGGAGTCCAGCGGAATATTCTCGGAGTTGTTCATCGCGAGCGATGCCCCTTGTTTACTGTTTACAATCACTGCAGGCTCACGGCCTACGCACGTATCGTATTTGAGTATAATAAACCTATTTACTCCGTGACAAACAACTTATTAAATTGTCATTATAGCGCCTAATGATTTCACAAATTATAGATCCATTCATTAATAAATTTTGCTATCTCAGTTATTTAGTTTACAAATACAGTATATTTCGTAATAACCACCGCAATAATCATGATCTGTTTAAAAAAAATAATGACCTTACGATATCAAACAGTTTGAGCGTGAGTAAATCGCGTGCTATGTTTACAAACACTGAATGCTGATAAATAGGTTATCAACTGTTCACGTTGAATTTCTGTTTTATAAATCAGATGAATGAATGTGTAAGAAAAGGATTATAAAGCCTTGTGGTCGCAATAGCGAGCATGACGATATTGTTTACCGTGAGCGGCATTCGAAGAATGAAACACTAGTATACAAGCGCGTGTTCTATTAATAGTTGATGAGCTACGTGATGGATGGATGACGTGGCCTCCGCGGCGACGCCGACGCTGTCGATGCAACACTTTGGCCCGGCGCCGGCGGCGACGCGCATCGGCTCCATGCCCCTGTCGCTATACCGATCACGAGGGCTTTTTACACACTCTGTATACCTACATACCAATGATGTAACGTTGCATTAATGTATGTGATACCAAGTGAACTCTGAACTCTTTGAACTAGCTCTAAGCATCCTACCAATAACAACAACAAAAAATGCTGGTAAGCAGTTGGAGTAGACTATAACTAGTGCCATAAGCGACTCATTTGAATTCAACACTGTATGTATGACCACTATCCTAACAAATTTTATTTCTTAGGTGACAGCATTTATTCATAACCGCTTGACTCTAGCTTTTTCAATGTTCGTCCAATATAGACATCTTGTAAGTTGTGATGGTGATGTTGGGCACTATTTACCAAAATATCAATAGAAGGTTGGTAGCTTAGTGTTCGAATTAGTCGAATTTTCATTTTCATTAAAAAAAGTTTAGTAGGTTTAAAACTTTGACATTTAATACCATACAGCAACATTGAGCTACGATGTAGTGAGCTAGCATAGCATCAATTTAAAATTTTCTTACTAAAACTGTGACATAAACTGTGTCACTTCAGCAAATAAGTTGTAATAAAGAGAACCAATTCGTCTATTTTGATCGTAAGAAGCAAAAAAATACCAGGAAAGCTAAGCTAAGCTAAGCTAATAATGTATTAAAAAACACCTTTATCCTCTAGTCTAGAGTGGCTGTTTCTAACTCTGAATTTATCATATAAAATTGTAGTTCTACGTTACTCCATCCCTATATAGTTAAGTTTGGCTAAACATACAAATTGTTAGCATTACGTTGACCACGGTATCAGGCGTCATAATTTTTTTGTGACCGACAGAACAATAAAGATATTATTTATAACAGGGTCAGGTTAAAAACGGAGCATGTGACTGTCACAAGTCACAAGGCGACTGATTTGGTCGCACGCTTCTTTGCGCCTACGCAACTCATGATTCATTCGTTTGGCGACGTAACGGTAAACATTACCCTAATTCTAATTACACTACACTACTGCAATGTGAATCGACCTAGCCACTAGCGAAGAATGTAACAATGACATACCTTCTCTGCATATTGAATGAATGACCGGTGAAGTCAACATCTTCACCGGCCATATTAGGTTATTGCCAAGTTCTATATAAAAAAACAATTTTTATTTTAAATTACTTCTGGCTTTTTGCTGACGTTATCTGAATACGATGCTCTGTTGCATCGCTTGCAAACATTGTGCGATTTATGAGTCTGATAAAACGACAATTACAACAAGGCGGAAGTTATAAATTGCAGTTTGTATTACTTTCGTGTAATATAGAATTAAGAAAAAACTTTATTGTAATAAAAATATTATTTGTTTACCGCAATAATACGTAGTCATTGTAATCATTGTAGCGTAATATTCAGTGACTCTTAATTATACACAATAGTGAAATTAGTGCTAATAACAGTATTCTTTATTTGTTTCTTTCAAGGCAAAAAACACTGAAAATTCTTCTATTTGACACGCTTAATATTAACTTGACCTGTATATTTCTATATCAATCCTTGAATATAGTTTTACCTACTTCAATTAACCTCCGATTATCTTGATTTGCACACGTATCAAAGACCGATGCCAATATGAGACTAATAAATTAGAAAAAAAAGATAATATTTTATTGACAGTAAATACCAAGAGAACGATTTTATCGATTGGCAAGGCAGAAATATCTTTTTATGTACAGTGAGTTGTAATTATCTTTTAGTTTTCCTGTCTAAAAGCTTCCAGCCAGCTTCTAATGTTTAGGAATAGTGTAGTAGTAGTTTGTTACTTACTGTATATCTTTTTATAAAAAAAAATGTTGATAAAATGTCTTTGATAACTTAATTTATTTAGACTTCACTATCTACTCATGCCAATATTTAAATGTTCGAATCTTACAGTTAATTATATCGTTAATAATGAAATATTCAAATTCTAGTATTTGCATAAAGAATATAACGTAAAAGATATAACTTCTAGTTCAACTACGTCTGGCATGTAGGACCAAATATCTAAACGGTTCTTCATGCATTGCCTGCCATACATAGACTGAATATTTATAATTATTTAGTTAGCGTCCAGCCATGGCAAGTTGTAGAAGCTCGCGAGGATCTAAAAATTCAATGCTTGGCGGCTTGGCTTGATGTTACCAAAATATTCTAGAACTACTTCGCTTCGCACGGGTGCAATGTGGATACTACCAATACTATTAATGTGATGTCAGTGTGGAGTAATTAATTGTACTATTATTATGATAGGACTATACTACAGGTCTTCTTTATATGCAATATTTATGGGCCCGCTCTGACTCTGCGGGTCGCTCAAAACCGGGACGGACGTACTTCCCGACGCGGCGACCGGCCGCTTTGCCCCCGTTTTTTAAACTTATAATATTTTATAAAATATTCATTTTGACATGATATGCTGTAAATAGAAATTTTAATCTTTAATCAATGTACAACGTATCTGACTTATTTAATTGGATAAGGAATAATGTATTGTTTGTATTTGTATTGTTTGTATTGTATGTAATAATAATGTATTGTTTAAAATAGCTTCATAAATAACCCATTATTTTTTTATATACTATCGCGGACGCACAGTGTTTGCAATGTAAGCGCACAAAATCTTTGAAATTCTCGGATTTTCTCTACTATAATATGGATGTATTATACATACAAACCTTCCTCTTGAATCACCCTTTCTTTTATTGAAAATCGCATTTAAATCCGTTGCTTAGACCTACCCGTACAACATAAAAAAACTACTTTATTTTAATGCTATGTAAAGATATAATAACAGACCGTGCCTACGCGGCCCCGAAAGTTTATGAAAAGGTGAAGTTAGGTAAAGTAATAGTATTACAGATATCTAAGCCGAACAATAAATCTGAGTTAAATGTTTTTTTTTTACTAACATCATGACAGTTAGTAAGTTATATTGTTAAGTCATGACTGACATGGCCCTAAAAAAACGTAAGTAAATCAATATAAATTTAAACTGAAAGTATTACAAGATAATATTATTAATAAACTTTTATCATTAAATGAGAAAATTGATATACATGTATACAGATGTAATGGAATTGCCCCAACTCCCAGTTTTTATCGGGTAAACCCTTCACATTAACAAAATTTGTCTCCTCGTTTTATTAATGGGTAATATGATTATTCAAATAGGGGGCATTAAAATAAATAAAAAATCTTAAAATAAATTACCTCCAATAATATAATAAGAATAAGAAGAAAAATTAATGTTAATTTGATGCTCTGATACAATAGACAGCGGTAGTAAACGATTAAGTCAAATCATTTTCTTATTATTCAACATTAAAACGGTTTTTCTAAATTTAAACTTTTGCTTAAACATGTCATAGGACTTCATAACACTCTGTAGTGTTACCGTACTATTACGGCATTGTAACATAGAAATATTATTTACGAAGGTTCTCTTTACATGTAACTAACCCAGGGAATGTTGACACCAGGATAATTCCCTCAGAGTAGTTTCAGATATAATTGCTAACAACACTAAAAATTAATGCTTCATAAGACTTCATAACACCAATGAGATTATTGATATCGTTTTATAGACACGGCATATAGGCATGTGCATATCAATAGCATTGTCAGTAATAAACTTGCAGGAAGGATTGCTCATACGCGCGTCATTCTGAACAATCGATGTTGTTACTTGCAATCATAACTCACATTTTTAGAGTTCCGTACCTCAAAAGGAAAAAACGAAACTCTTAGAGGATCACTTTGTTGTCCGTCCGTTCGTCCGCCCGCCCGTCTGTCTGTCTGTCTGTCTGTCTGTCGAGACCCTTTATCTCGGTAACGTGTGGAGGTTGCGAGTTTAAATTAAAACGATATTCTCAGGTCTACAGTCTCTTGAAGCTGTGAAAAAATCGACAATCTCAAGGGAATCAAAATTTAAAGGTTCAAAATTTAAAAATTCCGTTGACCTAGAACTATTAAATTTGGCAAGTAATACCGTCTTATACTACAAGTATAAGGAAAAATCTGAAACTATACATTTGTAATTAAATCATTAAAAAAACAGTGTCTTTATGCAAGGAAGGCGGTCTAAAGTTTGAATTGACTTAAACGTGTCATGTGTATAGTATAAAAGGCAATTGGCACAAGCTTAAACATATTTTTAATTATTTTCATGATTTATGATTGTTTTCGATTTATGATAATATGTACCTACAAATGTTACCGATACCGATCGATGTTAGTCCCTAGTTAAAAATTACTGGAAAACGTAAAATGTATCTGTATCTGTATGTACCTACAAATGTGAACGAGACCCTCGATGGGCGCGTCCGACTCGCACTTATCCGCTTTTTATTATACATTAGCCTCCAAAGAATGTTCTTTGAAATAGTTTATTATCAATTGTATTAATGAGTTATCCTTGTCATCCACTTTTGCGAATCCAAATAAGAACCAACAGTTGTTACTACTGCGAATGCTGCGGACTATGTTGTTATGCAGGAAATAAAACACCAACGATTATGTAATCTTTTTCAATTTTCCTATATACATGTATATCTCGTCACTAGAATGCAACTCTAAAGCAGGATTTGTAAAGCTGCAGTTTTAAATATGTTCGTACTGATTTATAGTACTATATGTGCATTTAACCAGTAGATAACAGGGTGTAGGTACCACCAACGTACATTTATATCTACGTGGTCTTGTATGTTTCTTGTTTGTGTTTATTTCTGCATGCTCTTCGGTGCCATGGCCGCTTTTAGCCGCAACATGAGCCCCGTGCGTGCAGACCGTGCCGATCTAGACGACGATGCATCCGCGCCAACAATAGGACCACTTGCTTTTCTGTTATTTTCTTTTTTTACATTCCATTCCTATTAGCATGCAGAAGATATTTCTTTGATATTGTTTATTCTGACATAGACACTATTATCAGGCACCTTGCCAACGTCATTCATTAAAGATTTGATGCAATATTTTATTTTTCATAAAACCGCTTTGTCATCAGCGTGGAATTGAACATCTATTAAAAGTTTTTTTTCTATTTTTGGTAGATCAATGAAAAATATTAATAAAACATTCAGACGGCGTGTCCTGCTCATTCATTTTACTTTAAAAAAAAAAATACCAATCGAATCGAGAACCTCCTCCTTTTTGAAGTCGGTTAATAAAAACAATAATAACAACCTCACACGTCGCACACGGCTAATACATCTAATTCCAAACTAGCCAAAGCCTATGCCAGACTTCTGATAAACATACCTACATATTATACATATATATATTACACCGAGACGCAGAAATAATGCTCGTGCCAATCAGTCATTATTGTCCTGGGTGGGAATCAATCGACGATCTTAGCTTAGCTGTCAAGAACCCTAACCACTTTTTTTACTGTGCGGAAATCCACTCAGTTACCACGCACGGGTGGGGTAGTTATGTCGGACTTAAACCGACTAAAAACCGCACGCCGTCTCGGATACCAGTGACCGAGGAACCAAGTGTACCCTAAGAAGGGAAATCCTCGGTCCATCTACGACTTTTAGACCATGACCATGACCCCCTCGTGTGTGGAAGAGGGGTCCCAAAGGGCGCGCGCGCTCCTCATCGAGTCTCGCCGCCACCCCGGCCTGCTTCTCTTAGGGTGACAAATGGCTCTATGAGTCGTCTGCGGCACCTGGCCCATTCCTGGGCCAGGAGGGCTGGGACAGTTCTAAACCTCTCCCGGTCTCGCTCCGCCGTCTCCTTCGCAAGCATAACTTGCGAGCAGAAGGTGACGGTGGACAGCTATCCATACCAATCTACACCCACGCCAGACATTCGAACAGCGTGTGGTGCGCCGTGTCCACGATCCGGCCATCGCAGTGATGGCACTCAGGCGTTGGCTCCTTGCGGATCAGACACAGGTGATCTCCGAAGCATCCTTTCCTAGTGATCACCTGCGTGTTGGGACGTGTATAAGAGGGTCCCGTGTTGCCTCTCGAGCCAATCCTAGCCAGGTAGCTACTAGCTACCAACATCTATCGCAGTTACCTAACAAAACTAGAACTTAAATTTTAATAAGTTTTATTACAATGATAATATGTTCAATTTC